GGGGAAACTGAGGCACAAGGCAAACCTGGAGAACAGAAATTATGAGTATCCCTAATGTCATCAGAGGGTAATGGGTAGTATCACCGCACAGCACCTCCAAAATCCACCTAGGAGCTGGCTGGCTCAGTCTAGAGACATGGTCATGCTGCGCTGCCCAGCCCAGGCAGCAGCATTCATCTCACAGGCAGAGGATGCTGCACCCTGAGGATCCTTCACCGGCACACCGGGAATCCTGCAGGGACACCTTGAAAATCCTACTTGGAGCCTCTTTGCTCAGATAAGAATTGTTGCTGCTTTACAGCACTTGCATCCTTCCACCTCCCTCTGGAAGAAGGTAAGCACCTGGGACACTCACACATCCCACACAGGTGGATTTGCAAAGCTACCTAAGTCTCTGTCTGACACCAGGAAGCCCCTGAGATGAAATCCTACACCTTACATCCCTCTGAAGGACCAGAATGAGAAGAGCTGACAACTGGGGAAGGATCTGATCTCCCTGGTTATGATGAGGATGGAAGGGAGCCCACAGGCTGTTTTTGTAAGCTCTGCCCTTCAAATACCCTGGGCCACCACTGAGATGAGAAAGCCCCAGGTTTGTTTGGAAGGAAGTCTTTCATTGGAAGTGTTTGGCACACTGTTCTTTAGCAGTTCCTGGTCCCCTCCTTGTCTGAGATAAGTTTCCTTTTAGCTGGAGGAGAAACTTGCTTACAGGTTGCTCTGACATGAGACACATCCCAGCCTGGGAACCCAACTGCAGCACACACTGCGGAGCAGAGCCTGACACCAGGCTTCATGAGTGGCTAGTGCCAAATCCCATATGTGACCACAGTGTTTCGTTTCTCTCACTGCAGTTGCACTTGTGATCATTAAACACTCTCTGGGCATCACATCCGAGCAGAACCAGGCACCTGCAGATGCAGCTGACGTCAGGCACACATGCAATCGCTGGGTGCATCCCCCGGCCCCATAGGAGAAAGGGCTGCAGAGCCCCAGAGCTACCAGCACTGGGACTGGAGACTGGAGGTCGTTCCCAACGTGCCTTAGTGGGCTGCAGCCTGGGTTTTTCTCAGAGCACTTTCTCCAGCTAAGGCAAATGCAAAGGTGTTTTTTGTGCAAGCCAAAGGGAGCATTCAAAAGCATCATTCTAAAAAACACCATGGTTCATGAGGAACTGTGGAATGGTGTTGATCGATTTTATTGGCGTCTCTAAAACTGGCCAAAGCCCTGCCTGTGTTTTCATGTGTCCACACCAGCTCACCAGCAGTTGTGCTCTGACAGCATCTTAGTTCAGTCCTTTTCCAGCTGCAATCTCCTCTCACAGGGGAGCTGGAAACTTCATCAGGACAAACTGGGTTGGAGACAAGGGGCTTGGGTTGGACCAACACTGAGCAAATGAAGCCAGCCCGCCAGCACTGGGGAGAGGAAGGATGGAGAACAGACCTCCAAGTTTGTCTCCAAGCTGTGTCCTCCCTGGAGCATGTTAGCTCCCAGGCGCCTGGCCAAAGCTGGACTGCAAGGCCAAGCTCTACGTGGATGAGTTATTTGCCAGGTAAAGCTGATGGGAATGTGAATCTGTGCAAAGCTCTGCTGGCTGGGCTCCTGCAGGAGAGGTCCCTGGAGAACATCTCGAGCCAGCCCTGTCCCCTCTGTGTGTGGTGCCTGGGTTCTTGAGGCAGCAAGAAGTGATAAAGAAAAATCAGATCTGGCTGGCAAAAAACGTTCCCGTGGGAAATTTTGACTTTTTGTCAGAAACCCCAGCACGTTCCTTTCCCAGCCCCAAATAAGCATGAATAGGAACAAAGATTCGGGTTTGGCAGTGGGAAGGGGCTTACCAAAGAAAACACCCAAATTTTTAAGCAAAGCAGACACATTCTGTCATTTTTCTCCCTGCCTGAAAAAAAACCCAAAGACCAATTTTCCAGAAAAAAAAAATAATGAAGTGCAAATTCAGTGAAAAAAAAAAAACAACCAAACAAACCAACAAAATAATCAGTTCTCAGAGCACTTCTTGTGGCAAATTCAGCTCATTTGGATAATTCACAGCCCCCCTGGCCACAGCTGCTCAGGGGGTTCTGGCCTTCTACATCTAGTTGAAGATGTCCCTGCTCATCGAAGGGGAATTGGACTCGATGAGCCTTGAAGGTCCCTTCCACCCAAACCATTCTATGATTCTGTGATCCTCTGGCTTCCCTCTCAAGAGGCTGAAGATCTCTCCAGCAAGTGGCCGCAACATTCCCCCCTACATACTGCTCATCCCCTGCCTCTGCCCACCGGAGGCCGTGTCCTGAGCCCTCGGGTGACTGCAAAGCCCGACCTTGTCTCTGGATTTCGGAGAGAAACCGGGGTGGGCCGATGGTCATGAGCAAGTGGGTGGGAGCTGAATGGGGTTATTGTGATCTTTATCTAGAGGGATTATTGTAGGCAGTGTGGGCTTGGCAGGTCCACGCAGTTGTTTGGCCGTGGTTGGTTTTGCAGACTGACAGGTACGGCCCTGGGGAACGGGCTGGGGAGAATTATTTTACGGTAGCTTCGTCTTTGCAAAACATTCACTTCCCAGCAAAGTCAGCGGGAAAGGGGAAAAAAAATCCAAGGAGTGATTTTGGTTTGCAGAGCCTGCCGCAGCCAGGACTGTGCATGATCTGAGCTGAGAAGCCTGGCACAAAAGTGACACATTTTACTGGAAACTGGGAACTTGTTCCCTTCTTATTGGAAGTCAATTGGAAAGGAGAAGGACGGTAAGTGCTCGGCGCCAGCCTAAGAGCTGAACATTCTGAGGAGCACTTCAGGACCCTGCAGAGTGGACCGAGGATGCAAGAGCACCCCGGGATCCTACCAAATGTATACGACATCGACGATAGCGGGAACTCTGCACACAGGGAGTGATGAACCGAGCCGTGGGGGAGCTGAGCCCCTCCTGCTCCCGGACCTGCTGCTGAGGAAGAGGAAGCGCAGAGCCCGACATGCAGCCTCATCCCGGCATCAGGACTCAAAGCCAGCATGGGGATAAATCGCTCGGCACTACCGACCCACGCAAGAGGCACTCACCGAGAAACGAATTCGCCCCGGGACCCCGAAAGGAGCCGCATCCCGGCGGGGAGAGGAGGCTCCGGACCGGGACCCCGCATCTCTCCCTGCCGCGGGATCAGGTCCCCCTCTCCCGCCAGATAACCCAGGCTTGGCCGTGCCGCACTGCTGAAGGCGCCGGCGAAGACATTGCTCCCTTCACAAGAGACACATCTGATTGTGATTTGGGGAAAGGAGAAAACAAAACAAAAACCAAAACAAAGACAAAGAAGGCAAAAAAATAAAAAGAAAAGCTCAGCGCGAGCCTCTCGATGGAGGTTGGTTTTTTTTTTCCTATCGTCGGAGCTGCAAATATTTTGGAAGCCGCGGACGTGTTCTCCGTGTAAACAAGGTGGTGGCGGCAGGCGCCGGGGCCGTTCTCCGCGGCTCGGTGCTAGGTCACCCACGGCCACCGGCACCCGGCTGGTCCCGGGGGCTGTCACCGGCCCCCTAAACTGCGGCGAGGAGTGGAGCACGGGCGCAGGGGAAGCCCGCTGGGGAGCGGGGGGTGGAAGACCGGAGGGAAGCCTTCGGAGGGTTGAGCGGGGACTAGAAGGGAGGAGCACCCCAAACTCATCATCCCTTGGCCATCCCGGGCAGAGGCGAGGGACCCCCATCTCCCTTCGGGTACAGCCCGAAGGATACGGCTCGCCCACAGTCGAGGGCTGTGGCGACGCTATGTTCACCCCCGAGGTTCGCTCCCCGAGGAGCGAAGGGGCTGTTCCCCTGTTCTCAGTTGTTCCTGGGGCTCTTTCAGGTCCCCGGGACCGCCCGCACGCCCTGAGGATGCAGCGATGGGAGAGTTCCCGAAGCCTTTCCCTGCCGGGGAAAACCGGAGCCCGAGCCAGTCCCCGTCCCGTCCGAGCACGGAGCCCTTCGGGAGAGCTGGAGGCTTAGCGGCGGGCTCTGAGCCTGTGTCCCCGGAAAGCCGGTTGCCGGAGAACTCCGGGATCCCGGACCGGACCCCGCTCTGTGCGCCGCGGGACCCCCGGCCAGGAACTGCCCGGGACGGGAGGGAGACCCTATGCAATGCTTCCCAAAACACGAGCGGTGTTTTCCCGGGCTCCTGAGTGTCCCTTCTCCTCTCTCCTGAGCTCCTTGGTGTCCTCTGCCCTGCGCTTCCGAGTCTCCTGCTGTCCCCTGCTCTGCGCTGCAGAGTCCCCCGATGCTCCCGTCCTGCGTTCCCGGGTGCCTCCGGTGTCCCCCGTCCTACGCCTCGGAGACCCTCGGTATCCCTTACCCCAAATTCCAGTGCCTCGCTGTCCCCTGCCCGATGGTTTTCAGTTCCTCGTGACCCCAGCTCTGCACCTCAGGGTCCTTCGGTATTATCACTAGTGCGATCCCGGGTACCTCGGTGTCCCCTGCCCTACGCTGCCGAGCGCCTCTGGTGTCCCATCCGCTGCGCTTCCGAGCACATTCATGTTCCCCGCTCCGTGCTTCAGCAGCCCTCGCTGTTCCCTCCTTTGCCCTAAGCTCCCGAGTACCTCAGTGTCTTCGCCCTGTCCTACCTTTCATGTCTCTGCGTGTCCATGTCCTACTCCCCGTCTCTGGATGTCCCCGCACTGCTCATCGTGTCCCTGGATGTCCCCATGCCTTTACCATCCCGTTGCTGCCGTGTCCCTGGATGTCCCCGTGCCTTTCTCTCCCGGTATCTGACGGGTCCTGCATGTCCCCTCACCATCATCCTGCCTTTTCCTCACCATCCCTCACGTGTCCTGGATGCCTCCATACCTTTTCCTCGCCTTTCCCTGCCCGCTCTCCGTTCCCCGTAGGTCCCTTGCCGGGTCCCTGGATGTCCTTATGCCCTTCGCTCACCGTCCCTTATCGGGCCCTTCCTTCTCCCCTCTCTCTCCCTGCCCTTTCGGGGACTTCGGCTCCCTGTCCCCTTCCCTGTCCCGCGTCTGCCGCCGTGTTCGGACCCGCGGAGTTGGACTCACCCACACACTCGTTGGCTTCCCGGGCCGTAGCTCGCTGCCAGGGCCGGTCGTAGTGGAAGGGCTTGCAGCGGTCGCACTCGGGGCCGGCCGTGTTGTGCTTGCAGTCGCACACCAAGCTGTCGTCGCGGTCACGGACACAGCGCGACGCGTGGCCGTTGCACTTGCATCGCCCGCCGACCTGCAAGTCGGAGACGGCGTAGAAGTAGGAGTCGCGGGCCAGCTCGGAGTCATCCTCGCTCTCGTCGCCGAAGGTGTGGAGGCGGCTGAAGGTCACCCTGATGTCGGTGGCCGTCACCCAGTCCTGCAGCACTGGCGAGTTGTCGAAGTCGTGGGCGGTGGGGCGGCCGTCCAGGGTGCTGAAGGCGATGAGGCCGCCGGAGAGGGGACGCACGTCGGTGTGCGAGTCGGTGCAGACCGCCTCCTGCTCGTTCTGCTTCGTGATGGCGGCGCGGCTCGGCTTGTTGTACATCTTGCGGCACTGCGTGGAGTAGAACTGGAAGGGCACCCAGGTCTTGCCGTAGTCCATGGACTTGTGGATGGCCATGGACTCGGGGCGCGGTGAGCAGAACTGCAAGCTGACGTAGGTCACCTCGAATTTCTTGCCCAGGGAGAGGGTGAGGGTGACGTTGTGGGGGTACTGGACGTAGCTGTCGGACTGCCAGCAGGTCAGGTTGTGCGGGTTGTTGAGGTCCGTGAGGAAGGAGGGCGGGTGGGCGCGCTTGGGGTCGGAGGCGTTGCAGAGGTGGCAGGAGCGGACCTGCTCCTCGCCCTTCTCCGTCACCACACAGTACCGCGACGGCGGCTTCCCGCAGGTGCTCGACACCTTCACCTCCTTCCCAAAAGCCGAGTTGACGAAGTCGGGGATGCACCGGCGGGGCAGCCCGTGCTCGTCGTAGCAGGGGTCAGGCTGGCCCGTCTGCACGGCGAACATGCTCCCGCCGTGGTAGCCGCCGCGCAGGGGCTGCGCCAGCCACGCCGCTGCCAGCAGCAGGGCCAGCGCCGCCTCCGCGCCCCTCCGCGGCATCCTGCGCGGCCTCCGCGGGGACGGACGACGGACGCGGTGCGGCGGCTCAGAGAGCGCGGAGCATCGCCCGCCCCGCGGCCAGCCCCGCCGAGAAAGGGGAGCCCGCGGCGGCGGCGGCACCACAAAAGTGCGGCGGGCGGCGGGGCTGGGTCCCGCCCGCGCCCGCCCCGGCCCTCGCACGGAGGATGACTGGCGGTCCCAGCCCCCGCCGCGTTTGAGGTCATGCTAAAGGAGTGACATCGCGCTCAAGGAACAGAACAACGACATCCACTGGCGGCTCAGCCAGAGACACGCAGAGGCCTCGGGGAGGGCGGAGGGGGGGTGGGGAGGATGGGAGCGGGACGGAGCCTGGCCCGATACAGCGACGATGGGCGCCAGCGCCACCGCGGAAATCCCTAGCCGCCCCGAGGAGCCGCGGAAAGGCCCTCCTCCCCTCCGCGGGAGCTGGGGACGGGGGCAGCGCCGGGAGGAGCTCCCTGCTTACCTGCGGGGACGCCGGCAGAGACAGGATCGGGCCCGACCACACCTGACTACTGCTGGCCTCCCCTTTACCAGGCCAGATGGGGCTGGGCCGGGAGGGGCGCGGGCAGAGCCCCAGTCCTCTGCGGAGCCCGGAGCCGCCTGGGCAACTGCCCGCTCCGAGGGCGCTGCCGGCGATTCTGGCCCGGGACCCTCTACCCCGGCAACGGCAACCGGATGCCGTGGAAGTTTAGCTGTGGGAGATCTGGAGCCGTGGGCATGACACGGGACTAACGAGCCCCAGCAGGTTATTTTAGCAGCCTGATCTCGGTGAAGAGGCGGTTTACACCCCGGGATAGAGCGGGCACGGGGGCTGCGCGGCGCCTCTCGCCGCTCCGAGTCGGTTTGCAGCTTTTCCCGTTAAAGCGAGAAAGGAGTTAAAGGGCAGCGCTTGTCCCGCACAGGGCCGTGCCCCAGCCCCGCGATCCCCTTCCCGCCAGCCCCAGCGGACCCCGGTGCCCGACGGCGGCTTCCGTCCGGCTCCGTTCCGGCTCGGCTCTTCCCTCGCGATCCCCGCTATCCCCACATGCCGGCCGCTGGGAACGGTAGCCGGATTCCGGAGCGATGGTGCCGGGAGGGAGCGGAGGAGTTTCCCTCCCGCGGCTCCCGGCCGCCCTGCTCGCCCCCCTTCCCTCCCTCCTTCATTAAAAGGGCACTTTTATTTTTCCAACGGAGGTGCCCTCGCTCGGAGCGCTGCCTGCGCCGTGTCACTCAATCGGCCGGGCCCTGGCACGGCCGCGCGGTCCTCTCCAGGACGAGTCCCGGCGGGGCGGCCTGAGGGGACGGGGATGGCCGGGGCAGCGGCGGGCCCCAGGCCGGCCTCCGCCCCCTCCCCTCCGCCCGTCTCTCTCCCCGCTTTGAATTCTTTGCCACCGAGCTGAATAAAAGTGGTTGTTGTAAATTGAATTAGTGCCTGATTAATCTGCTCCCGGGCCTGCTAGCCCAGCGGGGAGTCTTTGGCAATGCAACCGCCTTCCCTGCAGGGCAGCAGGGCTCCGCAGCCTCCCTGCCCCCATCGCCCCCTCCCGGACCTGCTCCCCAGCCCCTCCACTGCCCGGATTTGTTAACTCTTCCCCGGGAAACAGCCCCTCTGTCCTACTCCCGACGCCCTTGCCGCTCCTTCCCCGGCGGAATGCAGGAGTGTATGAGGATGCTGCCGGCCCGGGACTGGGGGCATCCCGGTCCCTCTGGTCTCACCCGAGCCGCCCAGGGGCTCAGCCGCACCCAGGACACACACGCGGCAGTGTCGGTGTATCCCAGCCCCGGAGAGCTCCCCCGAGTCTGTGTCCGAGTGACCCCGCTGGAGATGGCCGATCCTCCGGGATAGCCCAGCCCCGGAGCCGCCTGCTCTGCCCAGACGGGAGCCCCAGATCCGAAACCATAGATACCACCCCGCACCTCGGGGGCCTGCTATGAACATCACCTCTCTCTGCTTCTGAGCCCCGCTCTGCCTGCCCGGCGCTCCTCCTGCGGCCACGCGTATCCGTGCTGCGCTGGGACCAGCTATTTCCCCGGCGAAAGAAGCAGTTCTCCTCTGGGGAAGAGGATGCCCGAGACCGTCTCGCAGGCCCCGGAACGATCCAGGGAGCAGGGCTGAAATTGTAGCGTTTCTTCACAATCCGGGAGGGGTTTTAACGATCCCCCAGTCCCTCACAACAAAATAATGGGGGTGGGGGGACACTAAGTAAACCTGACCCACGCGAAACTGCCAGGCAAACCCGAGGTGCTGCTTAATCCCATTAGCAGGGTGTTAATTTAACAACCGCCCGGAGCTGCCGAGCCCGGGGCCGGTGCTGCCGGGGCGCGGGCTGAGGCTCTCGCTTCTCTGCTGTCCTTCTCGCTGGGTTTGTTCGGTGTTTCACAACCCCCGGGGTTTGTAATGGCTCTTGCGGCCATTAACGTGATTTACTGAGGCTTCCCTCTAATTACCTCGCCATCGAGCTATTAAATGCATGCAAGCAGCCCCGCGGGGACCGAGGCGCAGCTCCGCGAGGCCCGGTCCCGTGTCTGTCCTCCCCAGCCGGTCAGAGGGGCCTGGGGCCGTTCCGGGAAGATGGAGTAGGGGACGCTCGGGAACCGGGCAGTCTCCCCCACCAGGCTTGCTCCCCACTTCCCACTTCGGGTTTGATTTTCCTGACGTTAAGCACCAGCTCGCCCCGGCCTTGCCCTGCCTGGGGGATCACAGCTCCCTGCTCTCTAGCTCCCACCGGGGCCGGATCATCTCTGGCACCCACACTGGGAGCAGAGCATCTCCCATATCTCGGGTACCAGCACCGCGGCTGGAGCACCTTTTGTACCCGCACTGGGAGCCGAGCATGCCCGATAATTCTGGTACCAGCATCTCCGGTATCTACGGTACCAGCACAGAGACCGAAGCATCTCCACCACATGCACTGGGAGTGGAGCATCTTTAGTGTCTCTGGTACCTGCAACGGAGCCGGAGCATCGCTGGTACCAGCGGAGACCGGAGCATCTCCGCTACCTACACTGCGAGCGGAGCATCTAAGGTGTCTCCAGTGCCTGCCCCGGGGCCGGGCCGGTCGCAGTGCGGCCGCGAGGCACTGCCGGTAAGAAGCGAAGCGGCCCCTTTCCCCGCGCTTGGCCGGGAGAAGCCTCGGTGAAGGAACGAGGCGGAGGGAGACGAGTCCCCAGCCCTCGGAGCCTGTTTTAAAAGTCAAATCGCTTCGGGTGCGGGAGCTCGTCCGCCTCCCCGGGAACAATGCGCTGCCCCCGGCCCACCTCCCCCTGCCACCGCCCGGCCTTGGGTTTTGGAGGAGGGAGGGGGAAAACCCGACTAGATCTTCGCCTCCTCAAGTATCTGGGGGCCTTTCCCCCGGAGGGGACCGGGAGCGGCTGGAAAAGCAGAGAAGACCCGGGTTGAAATAATCAGGAGCGATTTATTCCCCTGGAGTGACAGTTCTTTTGAGCAGTTGCCGAATGGCAGTTTCTGTCTTTCTGAAAGCTTTTCTTCCAGATTCTGTTCAGATTAGGCTGGGGAGATGAATGAGGCCATTATCCAGCCCAGTAGCTATTCTGAAATGCCAAATTAATTACCAAGGGCTAAATCAAGGCGATGGGGGCTGGAGGGAGCCCGGGGGGCGTGGGGGGGTGGTGTGTGTTTGTGTGCGATTTGAGGTGTGAAAATATCCCCGCGATCTTTCAAACTCGGGCACCGGGGACAGCCCTGGGTGCCGTGTCCCGTCCCGTGTCCCCCCCCACCAAGTCTCACCCCGCAGGTGCGGGGGGCAGCGGCCGGGCCCCTGCGGGATCCAGCTCCACTTTCCCCTTCCCCGGCCCCGCATCTCTGACCTCGGCCAGGGCGAGCGGCTCCGGGCAGGGCTGAGTCGGTGCCGGTGCCTCTCGTCCTGGCTCGGCTGCTCCGGCGGCCGGAGGAACAGCCCGTTCTCGGCCCTGGGGCGGAGGAGGGAGCAGCGCCGCTGCACCCGGCCGGGAGCTCCCGCTCCCGGGATATTCCCTGAGTTCCAAAGGGAAGAAAGAGATCAATTGGAGGCAAGGCGGCAGCGCTGGCTCTCCCAGGCCCGATGTCCCTCTGCCAGCACAGACCACAACATTTGCACATGACATTTAATCCTCAGCCCTAGAGCTCTCTGGCTCTCGGCAGGCAGTTATTGTAATTACTGGTGCTCTAATATTTACGCTTTGCTCCCAAGCAAGTGTAATACGCGCATAAGCACAGGATTGCTTTGTAGACCCTCGGCTAGTAATCCAGTTTTCCCTTCAGTTCCCGGGAGAGCACCGGGAGAGCACATGTCTGCCTCCTCTCATGCAGGGGAAAAAAACCCAAACAAAACCAAAAAATCCCCCAAAGCCCCCCAAAACCTCCCCAAACCCCCAAAAGGCAAATTTTACGATATTAAAGAAAAAAATCGTTTAGGGAATGGTGAGTCGCGCGTGACTATCAATTTTTGGTGGGGGAAAGAGGTGGGCAAGTGGGTAATGCTGAATCTCCTGCAGCAAACATATGGCCTTTGAGATCCCGGTTCAGCCTCCTGAAAGCCTGGGCAGAAGTGCTGGCAGCAGGGCGAGCAGAGCCGGGCAGGACTTCTTCTTACTCTCGACAGTCCTTGCAAAGGAGGAATAAGCAACGAAGAGATTTCCCAGGGGCTGAGAAGTGGGCTGTAGGAGGAATCAAGCCTTTAATGTAAATTGGCCATGGCTGGCGGAGACCACTGAACACTGGGCTATTCAGCATCCCTGTGAACCTCTAATGATCAACTCGGTTTTCAATTATACACCCAGAATTGCCACCAAGTGAGATAAGCCTCTGGAATACTATATTTTCTCTTGCAAAATGTTTTCTTTAGGGCAGGCAGACTAGAAAGCTCTGTGTGTAATATCTGATTCACTTTCAGCAGACCACCCTGCCACCCATCAGCCCGGAGAGCTCCCTAGTACCAAACAGGTTCCCAGAGGGCTCACCCACTCCTGGGGACTCACAGATGGATTCAGCAACCGCAGGGAACCACAGCAGTGAGGGGGACAAGGATACCCACACAAACAGAGACTTCAGATGATGAACTTGTTAAAGCCTGTGATTTATCTTTGTGTCTGCAGAAGCAATGCTTTAGTTTGGATGGAGGAGACGTAGCAGAGCAAACAATAATGCAGCTCAGCCTGGAAAATGCTGCCATATTCTGTACACTGGACATACACCGAGGTATCAGCGGGGGGGGAAACTGATGTTACATGGCATAGCCCAGAAATGCACAGGGACACTCCAGGCTTCAGTTGCTCATCATCCCAAATAAGGTTACCCTACGTTTTCAAGCTCTTT